ATCTGACTATTACTACGAAAAACCTACAAATCTAAGAGCCCTTAGAATATTACTGATATACTTGAGCGTCATTGCAGAAATTATTAATCATTAAAAAATCAGAAATGAACTCGATATGCCTGTTACAGTTTGAGTCTGTTCAAATTGATTAGAGAGAACAAAATCCAAAGATAAAGCTTGACCAAAACACGCCAGGATTCTTGGCTGAAGAAGAAGTAGGTACTACAGAAAATAGACTGCTTGTTTATGTGTATTTGTAAATGTTTGGATCTAGGGTTCTCTGATGTGCTAGGGTGAATTCCGGGACCATACATCAAAACCAACTGTTATGTATCCTATAATAATTATTCTGTACACCCGAAATAAAAATGTTCAGTCTCTTAGAGTCTCTGAAAGCGAGACTTGAGTCTCGTCTTTCATCGAGTCTCTCTGGTGTCTCTGAGAGAGACTATCGAGAGACTGTCAAAAAAACTGCTTGGCGTCTCTGAACAAGGGACTCGAGTCACTCATAGAGAGATCCTCATTTCGTATCCAGTTTCTGAACGAGAGACTTGAGTCGCTCATAGAGAGATCCTCATTTCGTATCCAGTCTCTGAACGAGAGACTCGAACCTCTGAACGAGAGTCTCGAATCTCTCAATAAGTGTTTCGATAGACATGGTTAAAATTTTCTAAGTTCAACTTATTTCAGAGATCCCAGTCTTTCTACGAGAGACTCGAGTCTCTCAATTTTTTAGTTTTATTCATTCAGTCTCTCTGTGAGAGACTTGAATCTCTGAATTAACAATTTTATCGTTCGAGTCTCTNATCAGTATCGAAACAGTATCAACAAGCAACAATCAATTCATATTCAATCATAGAGCCTACTTTTATACTTTTACATCTAATTTTATTTATTTAGTTTATTTTAATTCTACGTGTAAGTTAAGTGTTGACTATTAAATATTTAAAACAACAATCGTTATCATTTACATAAAATAGTTTGCTCGCAATTAATTTGGCGTGTAAAGTGAGAATACCAGAAAGAACTCTTTCAATTAAAATTTATTTTCTCACAACAAACAATAAGCTTAGAATTTTTTTGTCGAAAGATATATGAAGTCAGTTTCCATTCAATAATTCGTTCGTATTCATTAGTGCTATCGGATCTACACTGTACGTCATGGTAACCCCAACCGTTCCATTACACTGGTAATAACATCCGGTATGTTTCTTCGTCAAAAGGGAAAAAAGTGAGAGCGTGTGCGGTCACGACGAGGAGGCGGTTTTAAAAATCTGCATGTAAATTAAAACATAAAGCACCGTCGGCGTCGCACGGCATTCAACTTTTAATGACTGGACAGCGTCGCGTCGGCCGTTGACGTCGTTGTTACTTACTCGCGTGTCACACCTTCGACGCCAGGTGGCGCGTCCATTTAAATAGATCGTTATTCATTCATGGACGACATTAATTGCTAGTGAAGTCTAATGAACGACGAGTACGGGGATGATTCGGTAAATAACGGGATGGGGTCCTGCATAATCCTGTGCTAAATGAGTGTAACATTCAAGGGTAGTTTGTCATTATACGTATGTAGCCCGTAATATTTTAAATAAACTTGTTTAGATATATCACAAAAGGATCTAAAAGTAATTTTTTTATTGTAACAGATTTTGCTTTGAATAATTGTAGGACCCCTAGAATCTCAGATACAATTTAGGTGTTCTAATGGGTCACATTTAAAAAGTTAAACATCTCATTATTAATTTGTGAAGTTTAATTAAATGTAGAACGTTTAAGTGACATTTTTAAATTGATAGAAAGCCTAGAAATAATCCCTTCGTGTTATTTATTAATTGACAAAAGATGCATTATATCAACAAGTTTGAAGTTAAATAATATTCGGCTAAAACTTTTGTAGTGAAAAGTTTCACTTTAAGATTTGCCTGGAAAGCTTATGGCTCCTCGACGTTTTATTCTTGAAATCTTCAAGATCTGCCGTTTTCTGGCTTTGAAATATTCTTGTTACTTTTTGATAATACCCTAAAAGATGTACGCATATGCATAATACTTTTCTATATATCAGTTTACGTGAAATTACAGTCTGTTATAGCCTACGGGTATGAATCACGTAGGGGAAGCCCCCAGGAAATTAATGCAGGCATGGTGTCTGATTTTGTGACAAATTAATTACTGTTTTCTATTTGAATAGGGAGTCACCTGGATTTTACTACACGCGAATTAGCTATGATACTTCATTTACTTTCTCTAGCGATTTACCCCTTCCAATGTCTTGGATGCCTGCTAGCAAAATCGTAGGTAGGGAGAAAAAAGCTCATTATACTCTCGACTCTTGTTCATTAAACATACTTTTTCATACAGTACCTGCCAAAAGTTTTGTTCAATCATGAATAGTAGTGCAAGTCGAAAACAAGCGTTAAAGCCTTTAATATGTCTTCAAATGTAAATAAACATCTCGTTAATATTTTCAGTAGGAAATGGTACCAAGAACAGCACATTTGAGCAATACAATTGTAGTGGATAAAATGGTCAAATTTTCCGTGCAGTACTGTACGAATTATACGCTCCTCACCGGTTAAGAGTTTGGCCGAGAGGTGTCTCCTTCCTTTTCTGACCTAGTGCTGTTCTTTTCTACTTTGCGCCGGTCAAACTGAAGGTCACATCGCTACGGAAAGTAAACGAAGTGTAACTACTTAACTATCCCTTCATTAAACTCACAAAATTATGTTAATAGAATATTATAGATAATCTAAAATTTCAAAAACTAAACAAACAACCAAAATGACCTTCTCAGTTAGAGGCATTGTAGAATTTTCTAAAATTCATGGGCTCATTTATAATGTGACAAAATTAAAAGCTTCGGTTATAATAAAAGGGCATATTCAAAAACTTTGTTGCTCCTTTTGTTTTAATTAATAATTTTATTACTCTTCCAAGTTTACTTAGACTTCAGTTCTTATCCCACCTCTTGAACGGTCCCCTTCCCTAATCTTCAAACGTATTCGACGCACAGATTTTTTTATTTGGTTACCAAATATTTCCAGGCGATTTAGACATTGGCAAACACGCACGTTTGCCGTGGTGTCGGCCCTTCGAAAACTATCAGGTTGCGCGAAAGTACATAAACGTATTATTCAGACTGGCACGAGGGAGGGTGCGTTACATTTTCTTGCGGTACGTGCTTTGAAAACTGCATTAATATCGAGGCATTATTTGCAGAAGTGTTCAAGATAACGTTTCTGTTTACTTTGGTGACTAACGTGAGAATAACGGTTTACGGGAGCCTTCGGGGCTGCTTGCTGTGCACATGTGCTTCCAGCCAGATTAAAGCCGAGTTAAGCCGCCTTCAGATTGTTATAACTCAATTAATGCAAATTACCCAACGTTCTACATTTATAGAAGAGCATTTATACGAAATTGTCTACGAACCAATATAGGTATTCATACTATTAAAGGCCTGTATTTTATGGATTGGCTCGATATGGAGAATATTGCAATCTTTTAACGTATTGGGCGTGTTAAATATGATTAAATCATTAAGATACGTAATGGTTACAATAACGTAAGCATCAATATCATCATCATCATCGTCATCAAGAAGGTCGTCAGTCCTAAGACTCGTTGGACACGCACCTCCACTCTCCTATCCTGAGCTAATCTTCGCATGCCTCTAAAACTAGAGCGTTCCACATCTCCAACTATTTCTCAATAGTAATCTAATCTAGGTCTACCTCTACCCCTCTTAACTCCTGTTTCTGCTTCTAAAATGTCTGTAACTAACCCTTTATACCTGAGAAGGTCCTGTCAACGTATCTCGCGTATTTTGAGACAAATTTCGTAAGTAATCACTAAGATATGGTTAAATTTCGTTACTATTGCTAGGGCATTATTCAAGTAGACAATGATGACAAAAGCTTTTGTGTCATGACGTACAAAACCAAAATCCGAAGAAACATCTATAATTTTTAGTTGACTGAAAGTGAAAAACGGATATAGCAAAAATATTTCAAGGACCTAATATCTCCCGTATAATAATTCAACGAACGATCAAGAAATATGAGGAGGTAATACCGTCTTGTTTGGACCTACCAAAAAGCGGAAGACCTCTGGTGTTGACTGATTTAAGAGTAGCTAGACTGAAAGAAAGTGCAAAAGAAAAATGTGGTGTGTCTATACGAAGACTAGTAAGACGCCATGGAGCTTTTCATATAACCGAGTTATCGTTCGTAAAAGATAGTGATGATCCTACATCAATGTTGTTCCGTACAATGGGAATATTTTGGTGTGATACTCCATTTATCCAGCAGGTGCATCACAGTCATATGTAGGACATTTGAAAGGAGAAACAGTTATTGTAAATTGTTACAGATTATATACGATCATCATAATAGTGACGATATAATGCTCTGGCCTGATCAAGCTTCTTGTCTCTATGCCAGGGAAACAAAAGAATGGTAGCAGACTAAAAATGCTATTTATATACAGAGAAGATAACCCACCTAATATTCCCCAAGCACCACCTGTCGAAGAATTTTGGACCTTTTTAAGCAGAAAAGTTTATGGTAATGGATGTGAAATCGAAAAAAAGAGCAGCTGAGAAAGAGAATCTACCGAAAGATTCGGAAAATCGGCGTTCCTACAATCCAACAATCCAATCCTTTATGAGACACTTAATACGAATGATTCGGAGACAATGGGCCGCTAACTGCACTATAATGTATTCTTAATGTTAAATATTGATGTTAAGCGTTAATCACTCACATAGTTCAAGTAAAACTGACAATTTGGACAAATTGTGGTATTTTAAATTTTGTATCTCTGTTACCTACATACGTTATATAAGTAGATCGACGGTACTATCCATCTAAATTTGAACAAGTTAGTCTAGGTTTTTGAAAAGTTACAGTTTTCTGTACAATTATTTATTACTCCGTTTCAATTTTAATTAATCTAAATTTTGTATTTTTAAGCTTTAGCTCACAAATTGTTTGTACTTTCAGATGTCCAAAAGACAGCATCTTTAATCACGTTATCCTTCTTTGCACACTGGTAAGTGAAGTTTAAATTCTTTTAAAATTATGTTTCTTTTGGTCATGTTTAATATTCCACAGACGTTTATTTTCGAACTCTTGTTCAAACTTTATTCGTTTGAAAAGGTAAAAGTAATATCACATATTTCTCCATGACGATTCCGAACGAATCAAAAAGAAAAATATCGTGCATATTGTGTATTTCTTGAGGTTTCTGAATAAACAGAATATACGAACAATAATATTATAGCAGGATATTTATTAGTCAACATCAAAAATATACGCATATAAAATAAAAAAACCAAGGATTTTGACAAAAATAAACGAAATAAGAGTAATGAACTGATAGATTATCCAATTAACCAACCCTTAAATCTTAGAATTGACGGAATCATACAACGTTATAATAATATATGCGATTATTAATTTCCCATCAATAAAAGTTTTACTTCGTTTTGTAGATTTTAGTCACAGTGTAATCTGCCTTAAAATGAAATTTAACAACTCATTGTTTTTGATGTCTTTTTTTGTAATGTTAGCTTTTGTTACCTCGTTACTTTTCGAGTTCTGTGGCACATTTTAGTTAACAACTTAACTTTCTGCGTACGTTACAATGAAACTTTATTTAATGTGTTAGTTATAAGCTCGTGGAAAATCTGAGTAATTTTCAAGGAATATCCAACAGTTCAGAGTAACATTGATCTTTCTAATATAACATTTTAACTCGTAGGTACTGTTTAATCTAAATATGACTTTGTCATTATCTTGTCATATTTTATTATCAACTTGTTAAAAAAAAGAGTCCATTTGTAAAATAAAGCAAAAGTACCCTCTTTATTCTTTAGTTCATGAAAACCTAGATTTCATCTCAAGACTCCAGAGCCACGTGAATCATTTTCGGGCAATACTAATTATTAGTGATTATCCATTTCTAATAGTGTATAAGTACAGTTGTTATATCATCCACGGATCCATAAGTAGTCTACATTACTCCTGACAACCTCCTATTCATGTCTATGAAGTCCCATCAAAATCGGATTTAACTATTTTAAAAAAAAGACTGACAAAGTTTATAGAAATAGTCCGTTTGTCACTTAAATACCATGCAAATAAACATATCAGCTTAAAAAAGGCATTTATTTCAATATTAAAAGGAGGCATTTCAATTTTTTCCGATTTCATACGAATAGCGTGGCTAGAAAATTGATATCTAATGTTCAGGGAATGTTGAAGGAAAAGTCTAGAAGACTTTTTGATCACACCGTGTAAATCGAAATGGACAAAGCCGATAATAGGAAATCCGTTTTGATGAAAGGCTTAAAAATAAAAGAAAGTCGCACACCCAAGTGCTTTTAGCTGCTGGTATTACTATTGTTTGTAAAAACAATTCGAATGGAGAGAGCATCTCAGTTTTACGCCAGATGAGTTAACGTATATATGTGTACAAAGAAAACCATTTGGCGCGAAAGTAGACAACTGACGACTACGTCGAATTTCTCGAGGATATTTTCCGTAAGGACGGAACATTTCGTGAAAATGATGTTGAGAAGCCTCTCGATTCCTTCCTTTTTAAGATCATCAAAGGAACATAAGCGCGCGGTTTCGGAACCAGCCATAAGACTCACGACGAGCCGTTGCAAATAGAACAAACGCCACTTACACGATGCTTTGTCGGCAATTTGTACAGAAAGAGAGATGAAAGCTGACAGTTTACAGGCTTTTGCTTTCTAATGTTAATTTGCTATGGTGTTAAGTATACTGGCAATTTTACTTACAAAGTGGCTTTATTTTGCAGAGGGAACGGCTTATTAAAACGACGAAGATGAACAGGAAATAAGACTTGTTGCTTTATTTATACGAACAATCCAAAATATATTCTTACCTATTTTTAGGCTATAATTAAAAATGGTAATTTTTACGGTGACATAAACACATAAAGTAAGTTGACGCCCTACTTACTCTTAGCGATGAATAAAATTGGTCTTGCTCTTGTGAAAATGTAAAAAAATTATTTATGAGTTGAATTAGTTGAAGCAACTTTAATATATTCATTTCTTGGAACAAAACATTTTTCGTATTTGAAATGTTCAGTTTGCTTTACTAGACATTAACGGGAATCTACAAGAATGTCTTCGGAGTACCTAAGTGTTTTTTTTTTTTCGTATGTTTGGATAACACATGGTTGAAATATAGAGACAAACAATTTTTTTTGATATGTTCACCCCTATTAAGTACCCTGTACTATTTTCTTCGCTAAAAGGTCAATTTATGCGTTGGACGAAGGTTAAGTTTTAATAACTCTCATAACTATCCACACTACTTTCTTTAAACGTTAAATGACAGATCATTTAAGCATTTAAAACAATTATTGTGTCGGCAAATAGAATTTTTTGATTTAAAAATATGAATGAACCTTCTTCCAAGAAACTGAGAAACACAGTTGTACAAAAAGCCTTCTTGGTAAAGGTCTAGATGATGGCCCCCCACCCCCGTGGGGTGGGTTGGATCGAAAGAGGAGGTCTCCCTCACCACTGTACCATAAAAAGTTCGTGGCGGTCTCACCCCCATAAAAAGCTATGGGGCTTAGATGATGGCCCCCCACCCCCTTCGGGTAGAGGGAATCCAAAGTGGGTGGTCACCTGAATAAAACCCCATAAAAAATTTGCGGCGGTCTCACCCCCATAAAAAATTATGGGGGTTGAAAGTTGATTATTTTGACAATTTTCATACACTATAATTCAAATAAAATTCAATAAAAAAATTATTTTCAAGCGGGTGGAGGTGGGGGATCGAAAGAGGGTGGTCACTTGAACAAAACCCGATAACCTAACCTAACCTACCCTATTGATAAAGATATTTAAATAATGTTTTATGTAACTTTCTCAATATTTTTATGTATTTTTCATTAGTTTTACCTTTGAATATTGTTTAAGAATGACTATATAAATATTTACATACCTAGAAATGTATAAAAATTGGCACATTTATTAACTTTGAACCCCTATAACTTTTTATGGAGGTGAGACCGCCACGAACTTTTTATGGTACAGTGGTGGGGGAGACCTCCTCTTTCGATCCCCCCACCCCCACGCCCTTCGGGGTGGGGGCCATCGTCTAGACCTTTACCGCCTTCTTTTCTGTAATCTACAGCATCTTTACATTTTCACTTTTTAATACTTCCATTCTTTTTTCTATGCAAGAAATTAATGGACACTGCGATTAAATCATCACGTTATAATCTAATCCTAACGATCTCTTTCCTCGTCTTCTTTATTTAATGTTTTGTAAGAACCATTCAAGATGTAGGTAGTCGAGATAATGCAGAGACATGAATATGATGAATGGCTTGATTTAGCTATGAGATTTGTATGTACAGGTGTCTGTATGTTGAAGAACAAGTTGGTATTGTCATGTCTATCCGCAAGACCGCACTTGATGCCTTTGCTAAACCAACATTGTCACAGAGGCTACTTATTACTTACAAGCGGATGACTCATGTTGATATGCTGCAGACGTTGAAGCTTCTATATAGGTAAATGTGTATGCAAATGTTATTTATCGTTACTGCATTTATACAATGGCAATGGGATGATGGAAGATTCGCTTACAATTACGAAGGAGTGTCTCTCCTCAGGTCTTTTACCATTATCTGATATTGAAAATCAATAAGTATATTCATACTTGTAAATAACATGTTATTGTGAATTCTGTTAGCTATGAAAAGCTTAATTTAGGAGTTACCTACATACAGGGTGTAACAGAAATAAGTGCCGACCTTACAGGAGGTGACAGAGCAGCATAAAATATGAAAATTAACTAAATGTTTGTATGTCCGAAAGTTCACTGTTTTCGAGAAAAACATAGTCGAAAGTAGAGGTAAATCTAATTCCGGCCCTGATAAAGAAATACGGTCCGCAACGCTGAACTCAATTAGCTGGTGATTACCAGCTACAGTGTAGTATTTTTTTTGCTAATGTATTATTTAGTATTTAGATTTTATTAACTGTAAGTGTAATTCAGGGTGCCTATTTTAACAGCCAATTTCATTGCGTCACTGGGTCTTCAAAAAGTGTAAAATATCGTAGCTATGGAAATCCAGAAAGCCTTTCCCTGGTGAGCTAAAGGACTTTAATATCAACCTAGTAGAAGTATTTTCTTATTCTTAAAAGCGACTTTAGCTTATGTTATTGGTTGTTTCATGTCTTTACTATTTCTTCCATTCTGAGTTATCTGACAGACAGCCCAGATATCGAAAAACGACGATTTTTTCTAATTTTCCGTCTCCAATTTTAATATTTGGCTCTAAATAATTCCTACAAGCAAATGCACGAAGAACCATAGTTATATGTATAAACATATTTTAAAATCCATTAGGCGCGATAATTTATGTTCGTATTTGTTTTGACGGGCGTTTTTGGCTTGAAGATTTTTGATCGATCGGCCATACGCTTATTTACCCACGGAATCGATCGTGATTAACAGACTATTAATGATCCTCTTAGCTGCCAAATAGAGATGTTAAATATTTCCACTGGTGCTCATTATAGATTTGTGCCAAATCAGATTCAACGTGAGGAAAATGAAACGAAGGAATGTTGCTTTAAGAATTTCGTTATACATAGATACTAAAAAGTATCTAGATTTATATATACTTAAAATTTGGAAGTAGTATTTACATCTTATACCAAATTAAAGAGATTTTGAATGTTGTAGAAATCTTTTTTACCCTTTTGGTATATCAATTTACGTCTGTATATCAAGCGTTTGATTTTGTACGATCTGTAGAATGTTCTGCCATTAGACTTGTTTATCACGCCCCATAGTATTATCGATCATTAATCCATTGCCTACCCTTTAGAGACGTTGCCAGTGCGACATAAACCACTGTTTGTGTCCACGACCTAATCTGTTAGTAATCGTGTAAATCTGTTAACGACGTCCCTAATCCATATTTATTGGTCAGCTCGCCAATCCATTTGTAAATCAAAAAGAAACGAACGATAATCGTCCCAAAATCTT